CAGCGCAACAAAAATTTATACCAACAATGTAATGAAAATTTAACAATACCAACAATGGTAATGAACAATATACCAGTAATGGTAAGGAACAAAATAAACCAACGATAGCAAGGAAACATTGAGCACTTGTAACACTATGAGACAGCAGTTTAAATTAAAGACCCACATCTCTATATTTTGACCAGACCAGATGTTTATATAAAAGTTTGAATCGATGGACAGTTTGGCATTGCTTGTGTTGTGAGTCCAGTTTGTTCCAGAGTTTCACTCCACATACAGACACACAGAAGCGTTTACGAGTGTTTTGAGCTCTCTGCAATGAAAAATATCCAAAACCTCTCAAGTTATAAGCTCGCACTGGGGTTATAAAAAACCGTTGTAGGTTAGGCGGTAATAATTTGTTGAATGCTTTGTATAAGACTATAGCTGTACTATATTTTACAAGGTCATCAAATTTTAACAACTTTGACTGCATAAACAGATTATGAGTATGGTCTAGGAAACCCACCTTGTGAATAATCCGCATTGCTCTTTTCTGTAAGATGATCAGAGGATTAATTGTATTCTTGTAAGTATTCCCCCACACTTCAACACAATACGTAAGGTATGGGAGTACCAAGGTGCAGTATAGAGTACGGAGTGCGTTTCCATCAAGGTATAATTTAGCTTTATTTATAATTGAGAGGCTTTTTGAGATTTTTGTTTTAATGTGTCTGACATGGGGTTTCCATGACAATTTACTATCAATAATTACGCCCAAAAATTTTGTCACCTTTACGATTTCAACTTGGGTACCATCAATACTTATGGTCTGATCAGACATAGCATTACGATTACCAAACATCATTATCTTAGTTTTGTTTATATTCAAGGATAATTTATTTGTGTCCATCCACTTTTTTATTATATTGAGTTCCCTGTTTACCGTCTCTACAAGGTCATTATAATCATCACTACAGTAAAATATATTAGTGTCGTCTGCAAATAGTATGAGGTTCAGATCTTTGGACGTACTAAAAATATCATTTATATACACATTAAACAGTTTTGGCCCCAACACTGACCCCTGGGGGACACCACAAGCAACACCAAGAGTATCTGATAAATGCTGACCCATTTTAACAAACTGTACTCTCTCTGTTAAATAACTTTTTAACCAATCCCCAGCCAGCCCCCTAATCCCATATCTTTCCATTTTATTTAGTAGGATTGAGTGGTTTATCGTATCAAAGGCTTTTTTTAGATCAATAAAAACACCAACTGCATACTTTTTTTGCTCCAGTGCATTGGTAATTTCTTCAACAGCTTCAATTATTGCCATTGAGGTAGTTCTCTTGGATCTAAAACCATACTGGCCTTCATTAATTATATGATGCTTTTCAAGAAACTTTTCAAGTCGAGAATTGAAAAGCTTCTCTAAAATTTTTGAGAACTGAGGCAAAAGAGAGATTGGTCTGTAGTTTGTAAAAGCGTGTTTGTTTTCATTTTTGAAGAGTGAAATTACTTTAGCGATTTTCATTTTACTTGGAAAACAGCCAGTAAGGAATGACAAGTTACAGATATAAGTTAGGGGTTTTACAATATTCAGTATAACTTTTTTAACCAATGTCATGTTGATATCATGACAATCAGTAGAGAACTTACTTTTACACATCCGCACAATGTTTGTCACTTCCTGCTCGTTTGTAGGTGAGAGGAAGAAAGACAAGGGATTCCGTTCAATAGCTGATTTTACAACTCCATGGTCTGGAATATCAGCAGCCAACTCAGGGCCAACATTAACAAAAAAATGATTGAACTTATTTACTACATTGTTCATATTATAATCTTCACCATTTTCATCAATAAAATAATCGGGATATGTCAACTTTGAAGAGCCTTGTTTGATTTGGCTATTCAAAGCATCCCAAGTTCCTTTTATATTGTTTTTGTTTTCATATAATTTGTTTTGATAATATAACCGTTTGCTTGTTCTTATAATGTCAGTTAATTTATTTTTGTACTTTTTATATCTTTGCTCCACTTCTTTTGTTTTTAATTTGATAAACAATTTGTAGAGATCCTTCTCACTGAGGTGAGAAGGATCAGAGCTCCGCAGTCCCCACTGGTGATGAGCTACTGCTGCCTCTATTCTGTGTGTTGAATAATATTTGTTTTGTGATGAGAACTTTCTCAATTTTATTACTGCTATGTCTTAAAGCCCGGGCACATAACTTTTCACTTTTTAAATGCCTTTTTTAATATTTCAGAGAAATTTTACATCCCCTCCCATCAATGATACATTACATAACAGATCACACCGTGCTGTCTTTATCTTAGTAGAAAACATTTTATCTTTTGCAAACTTTCCAAAGATTCCTATTTAATGCTTTGGGTTGAGAGATGAATGGTGGAGTGAGGGTGGGACTTTTCTGTCGTTTGAAAACAAGAGATAGAACAAAACTGTTTTGAGAGCGAGGAAATGGTTAGATGGATTACATCTACTTATTTGTATATATTGTATATATGTGTGTGATCCCAGTGTGCTCTTACTACTGTCCTATATGTGCGATGCAACATCAAAATTTCCCCACTGTGGGACGAATAAAGGAATTCTTATTTTATCTTTGTGTTATGCCGTGTAGAAAAAGCGCCGTACAAATAAACTTTGATTGATTGACCTCTCACATTCAAGGCTCTCTTCCTGCCATCATTCAATCCATACCCTGGCCTATGTCTGTGGCCATACCTGCATGCGAAAGCCAGATCCCGTGAGACCTCTGAAGCTAAGCAAGACAGGACCTGGTTAGTTCTGTGATGGGAGACCTCTGGGAACAACAGGTGCCACAGTGGGGCGGCTGCAGCTGTAAAGTGCCAAATTGTCGTTATGTCCTTTGGCAAGACACTTCACCCACATTGTATAAAATGAGTCTAGTGTGTGCGTGTAAAGGGATGATGGCACATTCCGTTTGCCTTGCGTCTGGCAGTGTGCCCCAGGGCAGCTGTGGCTACAATAGTAGTTTATCACCGTGTTTGGAGTGAAAGAATAATTACATGTGAAGTGTCTTTGAGTGTCCTGAAAAGTGTTTTATAAAACAGATTATTATTATTATTACCTCTCGGTCTACTACCACTCATGCAACTATTCATCGCTCTGTTCGTCAATTTCTCTTCATCCATTCTCTGCATTTGCCCGCACCATCTCCGTACACATGCATCCCCTCTTTGGGCCAGGTCACCTAACACTTACACAATCCGTGGCACACCTAACATACTTCTCAAGAATTTCATTTCTAACGCATACAATTTCTTCCTTTCACTTTCTCTTGTACCTAGTGTAAATTATGTGATCAATCCAATGTTATCAATCAGTGAATTCTTGGAAAAATGCCTGATTTTGATTTGCTTGAATGAATTCTTTCTTTCTGTAGAATTGCACAATGACTTTCAGCCTTCTATAAACTCACATCTGTTGGATTGAACTCCGGGTGAAACATTGAGGCTTTCATTTTGACAGTTTCCAATAAACAAGAAGCAACAGCACAATTAACTGCCTTAGATTAGTGAGCTATCCTCTGGTGTCTCTTGTTTTCATGATGTATTTAGCTAATGTGTTTTCTCTCGTTCCGATGTTCAGACATGATCATTATCTCTCATCCCTCCGCTGGCATCACGACCTGATTTATTCACTGTCTGATTTAGACTCTGTAATAAAGGCAGATTGCAATGTTCTATAATGGGTAAATATTGTGTACCGCTGGTGTTTCCGGCCTTTCAGACTCAGATTCAGGCCGTTTCCAACAGACTGGCCCAGCATCTGTCCATCGCGAGCCAAGAGATAATGATGTTTTGTGAATTGTGTCCAGCCATGGGGTTTTATCAGTGAAATAACTCAAGTAAGATTACATAGATGTCCATTAGCTGCTGCTGCACCACCTCGAGCTCATCGGTGGTCCGTCCATTATTCCCAAGGACACGGTGTGAGTTTCGGCTCATTTGGGAGATTGACATTTGTGGATTACAAAGCCATGTCAGTAAAAACAAACCTACCAGCTTCAGAAGATTAGTTGGATTTCAAAGGGACATGACCTGACCTAAAATATATATTTTTTTAGATCCAAACGTTCTATTTGCTCTTTTGCAGTAAGCTTGGATCTGTGAAGCACATAACAATGCTATTGATTTGGCTAAAGATTATTTACGCAATTTTTTATGTTATGTTTATATATAAAAGTTAATATTTTTGAATTTCTTACCTAGTGACTGAGTGGTAAGCACTTTCACTTCTCAGCAAGAAGGTCCTGGGTTCGAATCCTGTTTGGAACGGAGCCTTTCTGACTGGAGTTGGCAAGTTCTTCCTGTGTCTGCAAAGGTTTCCCTTTCCACTATAACATGGACAATAGTTCTAGCTCTTTCTCTGACCAAGCACATACAAATCTGGACTCAGCAGCCATAAGAGTCGGCTTCATGGTGCCTTCACTTTTGTGTGCAATTTTTTTTGGTAGGTTTTTAGGTGAGGGGGTGCGTCAGCAGAAAAAATATAGAAATGTAAGACCTTGCATGAATGTTGATACTGCACCACTCTGGATCATTTTTTTCCCAATAGTATATATATATAATTGTAAATTGGCAAACTGTATTTTCGGCAACATTGATTTGGTACTTATCACCCTCTCACATGATATCAATATGTTTCTTTTTTTGTATAACCGATGTGAGGGCTTTCCCTTTTCGGCTTTGGCCCATCTTTGTCTCACAGCTTTTATAGTTGTAATCCCATCATGTCCATTACCTGCGTTCAAACCAGTATTGATTCGACCTGACCGAGCTTCTCTCATGCAGCAGTGGGATGCCTTTGATTGGCTTCATGTTTGTTATTTGTGTCACTGAAGAAACACAATTACACTTTTAATCGTTCGGATAAAGCGAATGCAGAAACCCACAGGCTCTCGGGGGAAATCCACCAGCCCTAAATTTTTATCTTCACTGACTTAATGCCTTCCTTCTGTTTTTCTCATCAGTGCGGCATCTTCTGAAGAACAACGTGAGCCCGGACCTCTGCAACGAAGATGGCCTCACCGCTCTACACCAGGTAAACTTTCCTTTGATAATTTGTGAATTATTTGTAAATGCATTATAGCCTTTTCTCAGTTAAGCACATTGACAGTGTTTGACTCGCATGTGTTTTTTCATAGCTGCGATTATTATAATTCAGAGAAACCAATGCAAGTAAACCAATGTTAATTGGTTAAAAGTATAGCAGCAGTCCACAAATATTGTTTAAAGTGAATCTCAGATACTTTTCAAACTGTGAAAAGGAAGTGAAACCTTTTGAAGATGAGAAAGACCTGCCCATAATCACCCATGCAGCTTCCTGATTGGTCAAAATTAATTCCAATCTTCAAGGCTCCTCGTTATTGGCTTAACTACCGTAATTCTCTGACTATTGAACGGACATGTATATAAACCGCACCTGCTACATTTGAAAAGAAAGTAAACCGCTCACAAACAGCTGATCTAGTAAAACAAAGCTCTGTAAGCCGACATTTGGACACAGCTCACTATTTAGCAACACAAGTGACAGGTCCTACTTCCTACACAGAGCACTATTTAACAACAGCCACAACAGGTCTTATATACCACACAAAAAACTACATACAGGAACAGTAACATGTCTCGGTAAATCACATGATGAACTCTGAGGAGGCAAACAGTAGCTCACGTTAGCATGCTCCTATAAGCTCTGGCCGAATGAATGCATTAAATCCAATTGGTTATCAGTGTAATTGTGCGTCCCATTGCTACTAAAACTTGGAGTCAAAAAAGTCCATCAACGCTTGAATGCCATTCTGTTTTATTACACATGCGACTAACAATCTTTTAAGGAGTTTGGTGTCTGGAAGCTGGAATGTGTGCTATGTGTGATTAACTATCTTTGATGTATTATTGTTAAAAAATATATTAGTACAATACCCCCACGGTCAGAAATATTCATTATTTGAAAATGTAGGTTGTGGACGTCACGTGTAAAGCTTTATATGCAGCCCTTTAGACAGCAGGTCAGTCAACAAGTTCAAACTATTTAATAAATGGATTGATCGTTGAAAACATGCACTGCATACTGGCCGGGTCTGTCTATACAGTTACAGTGATTGGTTGACTGGTTTGCTAACACTGTGGCTACAAGAAAAAAACAAGATTAAATGATTTATCCCACTGGAGTCATTCCAGACTTAAAAGCAGAAATGCAGGTTTATGTGGATATTTTGATCAAACGTGGATCATACTCTTCACTGTAGATGACAAACTGTTGTATTATTCAAACATCTTTGTGTCTACTCAGCTGGTGGCAAGTTTGATTTGATTTTTTTTGTGGGTTAACGACATCAAAAAGACTAAGGTGGTTTCAAATGTTTGGTGCAAAGGGTTCTTTTTGGAAGAATTCTGACAGAAGTCCGTTCTTTTCTTCTGACAAGTTCAAAGACGACTTCAAATGCCGGGAGGCCGCTTTCAACTGAAATTTCTCAATTTTCTGCATAAATGGTTATCTCATTACATGTCTCATTTGACCACAAATTTTTAGCGCTTTCAGCAGCTAGGGCAATTTTCTAATTTCAGATGTGATCAAGTTTACTGGCAATAATTTATTTAAACTGTCAAACAGCTTCCTGTTTTATATTGGGAAATAGAGAATTATTCAATCTGTTCCGTAACGAAATGCACACAATATTCATTGCACTTTATATTCGGGAATATAAACTCATTTTGTAATAGTTCTAGTTGGCTAAAGTATTAAAAGTACTGTTAAGTCATTTCACGTCCAACTTGAATGATGAAGTGAGGAATTGACCATGTTTCATCAGGACTCATCTCGGTCCTTCCTTGTTCTCCATCGCATAAACGCTTCCTCCCTCTCACTCATCTTTTTACTGCTGCAAGTGTAATATTCAGGCTCCCGCTGCGAGGAGGCGCTGGAAGAGAAAATTGACATCTATCAGTCCCCTCCAGGGCAGATGTGTTAAAAGCAGCAGGAAAAGAGCGTTTGACCTTTATTCCTGAGTGTATGTCCTGTAATCGGCTTTTTCAAAAGGTCTGTGGCATGAGACCCTTATATTTCCTCTGTCTGTTGAAGAACGCACTTAAAGAGACTGGCAAATACACAGTGGAATGAAGACCTAAGCTTTACTCACATACCATTATTATTGCTTTAATTTAACTTGGAACTTGGATCAATGGGGGACTAGACAGTGGTTTTGAGTGGATCTGTTGGATGGTCAGGTTGGGATTGTAAAGCAATTTGTGTTGCATTATTTGTAGAAAAAGCACTTTATATATAAAATGTGATCGATTGATTGAACAATTTATTTATTGATATTGGATATTTTGTATCAAGGCTTTCCACACGCCAAAATATGTCATAAGTCATCGGCAGTAATCAAAGTTTTGGTTCAAACCTCTGTCTAAACCATGGTTCTCAACCTTTTTCCCTGCTCACCCTTGTTACCCCAGCCCAGACAAGGCCCAAGTACCCAGTCTTTCATTTGAGTTCTGCCTTTGTGCTGCGTTCATGACAATATTTAAATTACCACATTTAAGTTTGTGTTACAGCTTTTAATCACCTCATGTCCACTATTACACTGTGTGCGTCCCTTTTCCACTTTTCCACTTAGTTTGAATATCAGAAACATGATTATTATTCTACATAATACAGAACTGTATGCACAGAAATGCAACGGAAGAGGCAGGAAACCATTGCATATACACACACACATTAACACAATTCGAATGGCCCCCTTATATTCTACATGTGCAAGTGAAAGGACACATGGGGCCGTATCAGCGGAGATAGTCAAAGCACCAGCGCGGTGATGGAGAACCCCCAGGCTATATTGTGTATTTGCATTTGTACATACACGCACACACATACATACACGCAATGCTATTTACTGGATTTTCTTCATTTCATAAACACACATGTGAACAGGGTACATTATCTGTTTTCTGCTGCAGGAAAGGAGTTTTAAAAGAATCCATGTGTGTGTGTGCAGGTGCCTTCAGCGGTACCAGCACACACACACAATTTTGTCAATTTTGGGATCAATCATTCATCCTAGAATTATTATAATTGTAGTTTATTTATGCAAAACGTTTAACCTGAAATCTATGGCGCATTCTGAGTGCCACACATAAATGGGACTGTGAATGAAACATAGCTATTGGCTAATTATAGTATATTTATATATATTAGGGCTGTCAAACGATAACTTTTTTTTTGTTGATTAATCGCATAGTAATGGTGAGTTAACTCACGATTAATCGCATGTTTAACATTCTATTTCAAATCCACTCCAATTGAATTTAAATGAGATTATCAAATATAATGACCAGTGTTGGGTAAGTTACTTTGAAAAAGTAATTAGTTATAGTTACTAGTTACTTCTTCCAAAAAGTAATTGACTTACTAACTGAGTTACTCCACTATAAAAGTAACTAGTTACCAGTAAAAGTAACTATTGCGTTACTTTTTCGTTTGTTGTGGTACCGAGTTTTAGCTGGCTGTAATTTAGGATAACTTCAAAGTAGATTCATTGTTGCAACAACCCCACCCTATTTTAGTATGATAGTTTAGGGAACTGTCCTGCAGGCAAACAGGTATAAGACAGGCCAAGGTGCCATTTAATTAAATTGCATTTATTTTTATCCATTGATCAAACAAACACATTACAAAACTTGCAATTGAAACAGACTATTTTAAAATAATTAGTTCCCAAAGACACACATGAGCAACACTGGCGCCTGACAGACAAGAACCAGGGAGAATACAGTACGCAGATGGTGCCTGACAGACAAGAACCAGGGAAAATAAAGTACGCAGATGGTGCCTGACAGACAAGAACCAGGGAAAATACAGTGCGCAGAGCGCTGAGTATGTGAACGGAGCAATCGCTTGCTGCTGTTATTATAATAGCTAGATCCATGCTTGCAGCCCGTGCAAAGCTTGCACTCACTCACAGCCGCTAACAACAACCAGAGCGGCCACGGAGGAGGCCACCTCACACGCAGCATTCTGAGTGATATTCTTATGGATAAATGGGCGGGTCATTCGGACATGCGTTAATGCGTTTAAAAAAAAAAAATAACGCGTTAATGAAAAGTGTAATTAACGTGAGTTAACGCGATAATTTTGACAGCCCTAATATATATATATATATATATATATATATATATATAATATATATATACATGTACAGTGCCTTGCAAAAGTATTCGGCCCCCTTGAACCTTTCAACATTTTGCCACATTTCAGGCTTCAAACATAAAGATATAACATTTTTTTTTTTGTCATGAATCAACAACAAGTGGGACACAATCGTGAAGTGGAATGAAATTTGTTGGATAATTTAAACTTCTTTAACAAATACAAAACTGAAAAGTGGGGCGTGCAATATTATTCGGCCCCTTTACTTTCAGTGCCGCAAACTCACTCCAGAAGTTCAGTGAGGATCTTTGAATGATCCAATGTTGTCCTAAATGACTGATGATGATAAATAGAATGCACCTGTGTGTAATCAAGTCTCCGTATAAAAGCACCTGCTCTTTGATAGTCTCAGGGTTCTGTTTAAAGCGCAGAGAGAACCATGAAGACAAAGGAACACACCAGGCAGGTCCGAGATACTGTTGTGGAGAAGTTTGAAGCCGGATTTGGATACAAAAAGATTTCCCAAGCTTTAAACATCTCAAGGAGCACTGTGCAAGCAATTATATTGAAATGGAAGGAGTATCAGACCACTGCAAATCTACCAAGACCCGGCCGTCCCTCCAAACTTTCATCTCAAACCAGGAGAAGACTGATCTGAGATGTAGACAAGAGGCCCATGATCACTCTGGATGAACTGCAGATAACTACAGCTGAGGTGGGGATGGTGTGTTCAGGGTGATGAGCTGTGTTGCTTTTACGCCAAACATATCGTTTTGCATTGTGGCCAAAAAGTTTGATTTTGGTTTCATCTGACCTGTGTCTCCCAGGTGGCTTGTGGCAAACTTTAAACGAGACTTTTATTGGATATCTTTGAGAAATGGCCACTCTTCCAT